CCAGGAATCAAACTGGCAACCTTTCCGTGCACAGGACAGTGCTCAACTGAGCCACTCCAGCAGGGCTTATGGAGCATCTTAATGCTGAACTTGCAGCTCTCTATCTAGGGGGAGAGCATTGGGGATGGAGTAGAGGGAAATAGCAGGCAGGATGAGGAAAGGGTGTCAGTCACCTCCACCCATCCTCATTTGCATTCCCCTGCCATTTTGTTTCCTACTTGGTCTCTGTCTCCTTATTTCCTCCAAGGCATCTTCATCCTCTCTCCAGTCTGCGTTTCCTGTCTTACTTCCTGCTCAGCCTCCCATTCATTCTGTCTAGGCTGCAGCATAGCTGTAGTGGTGACTCTGGCCCTCAGAAGACCTGAGTGGACAAGTCCACGTTGTTCCAAACCTAGCAACCTCCTTGCATCTCTGCTGCATTTTCTTGTTTCTGGCTGTCACCCCTTCTTGGACTCCCCTTTTCATCACACTGCCCTACCCCCCCTTCATGGGCTCTCTTCTCTTCTTCCCCACGGCTGCTGCCGGTGGTGACTGTAGGTACGGACACGAGACATGGGCGGCTACAGCACCACAACTGACTTCATCAAGTCTGTCATCGGCCACCTGCACCCTTATGGGGGCTAGAGCTCTTTATTCCCTCCAACCTCACTGAGGACCATTCTCCCTTCAGTACAGTGGACCAGAGAAGAGCCCTTAAACCTCTAGACCATAATCACCTGGGCAGAGCCTAGGTTGTCCTGGGGCTGGCTTCCTTAGGGAACTATATATTGGGTGGGGGGAGGGGGTGGGTGGTAGGGATGGGCCCAGGCCACAGGGGTGATGACAATTCTCCCCCACAGGTTCGAACTCCTGACATGGGTGGCTATGCTACCTGCAGAGACTTCACTGATGCTGTCATTGATGCCCTGTCCCAACCACATCCATGTAAAGGTGGCCAATAAAACGCATATATCAATCAACTCTGTATTTATTTTTATTGGGAAATAGGGGTTGGGTGATTGGGAGGTTATGCCCCACCAGGGTGCTGTCCATTCTAATCTTCCTGGGATAGCTTTTGGAGCTTTTTCTTTTTCTTGGAGCCGCTGCTCTTGCTACTAGCAGCCTCTTCAGGTCCACTGCTAAGAGGCTCCTCCTTTGAAGAGAATTTCCTCTTTTTCTTGGGGGCACTCCTGTTTCCTGCCTCTTCAGGGTCGCTAACCGGTCCCTCTTTGGGGAAAGATTTCTTCCTCTTGGGAAGATTTCCGCTGCCAGTTGTCTGTTCAAGATCACTGTTAACCAGCTCCTCCTTGGAAAAAGATTTCTTTTTCTTGGGTTTGGATAAAGAGACAGGTAGGTCTTCCATTCCATTCTCCTGAGGAGTCTCCTGGAGCTTTTGCTTTTTCTTCTTTTTGGGTTTTTCACTTGTCTCCTAAAGGGGGAAATGAGCATATAACAGTGTCACTCACTGTTATCAACACCCCCACATCCAACCCCGTTAGAGTTCCAGCAATTAAGTAGGGTAGAGAGACTGGTGAAAATGCTGTTAAATTGTCCAATGTTTCTGAGATGGGTGGAACTTTGGAAATGTATCCCAAAGGTGACTCCCACTTAGGTGGGGATAAATATATTATTGAAGCCTATTTAAATAAGAGAAAAAACTCACCATGTTGATCACAATAGAAGCATCATGCCCAGTTCCAGAGGGGACGCTGAAATACTATTTGACAAACTGGGCACTATGAAAATCCCAGGGAAGATTCTAATGTTGGAGACCTCCCTGTTTGCATTCCCACTATGAAACTGCTATCACCTCCAGACACACAGCCAGGAATAAACAGTAGGAATTCACGCTACCCCCAGTTGAGGACTCCTGGGAGGCAGCTGAGGACAGAACATGCCCAGGGAACCAGTTTCCTACAGTCCGCTCTCTGGGCTCTATCTCCTTCCTATAGAATCAAGAGGCAGTTTTAGAGGTTTCAGGCAGGTTCCTGTTTCAGTCCAAAGGCCTGGATTCAAGACCATGGCTTTGAGGCCACACATCTTTTGTTCTGTTGAAAATCCTACAACCCAGGATCTTCACTCAGAGCCTATCTGCCTACTGACCTCACACTCCTCTGGTGCACTACTGCTGTTTCCTGAAGACGCGAGGGCAGCTGCAGCCAGCCGTTTCTTTTCCTTCTTCAAGCGTTTCTTCTCCTGTTTCTCCAGCTTCCTAGCAATCTCAGCAGCCGCTTCCTCTGCCTGACCAAAGAAAAGTGCTGTAAAGGTTCTGAAGACCTCTGGCCCTCCAGAGTTCTCCCTCCTGGCTGCACTAGATCAGGCTCATTAAATCAGTTTTTTGCCTCCACTCTCCAAGGTCAGGCCAAGATAGTTCATCACCTCCAACAGCCAGCTATGGTTCACCCCCACCTAGCAAAGCCCAAACTGACCTGAACCATTGCCTCCTTCATGACCTCCAGGTTCTTTCGTGGGATCACTCCAGTCTCATAGAAGGATAGCCGCTCCTCCACTTGTTCTCGAAGCTTCTCTCCAAATACATTTGTGGGTACCTCTGGATATGTGTATGTGCATAAACAAAGCCTGTCAGCTCCCCAAGGGACAAACTATTCCCACCCCTACTATTTCCTCCATCCTTAGCTTCACTCAGACCCAAAGTATCAACACTCACTAGGTGAACTCTGTTGACGAAAAATGTTACCATCATTGTAGAAGCTAAAGTGTGGAGTTCCCCACTCCCTCCCAGCCCTTTCTCACATGCCAACTCCCCGACCCATACCAGAGAAGCAATCAATTCGTGAGGCAATACTGCATTTGTTTGCCAGGTATCGGGAGATGCGGCCTTTGTTCTTGGCAGCTGCTCGGCCAATGAAGGTGGAGTGGAAAATGAGTCCATATTTTGGGGTGTTACCCCTTGTCTTCAGGGCTCTGGGAGAATAGTCAGTAGACAGTTTAAGATCAGAAATTTCAACCCTGTTAGCCAAGGTAGCCCCTCCCCCCAGTCTCCAGAGTGAACCTTAGGCTGGTGAGTCTCTATCCCACCTCATGCCAACCCACAGCTCCCAGAGGCAGAGAGAAGGCATCCAACGTCGCTGACCTGGAAACTTGGTCCCTTTGCTGGGCCCTGGGAATCACTCAGACACCAGGACTGGCCATCATCCCCATAGCAGAGGCCTGTATAGGTCAGGATGTCCTGGTCAGCCATCACTGTGATTCCTCAAATAAGCAGTGCGCACCAGAAGCAGCACCTGAGTATGGGCAGGTGCCCTCACTGGTACCTGAACAGGGCCTTTTCAGCCCCAAGGATCTGCACTGTGGATGCTGGATACTTGGCCAGGTTGGTGAGGCTGCCAGCATGAGCAATGAGACGTGCGCCTACCTAGAGAAGGATTCAAGAAATTAGTCACAAAAGCTAGATTTGCCAACCTACCAACCGCATAATCCTGCTTTACTTCTCCCCATCAAGTGCATACAGGGAAAACATGGAGGATCAGGAAATACAGCAGTCTGGATATATATGGTTAGCAGTCCTTATTCTCCCATTTTTGTGTTTCCCATGACGCACCGCTTCTCCAATTAGGGCCGATAAGCTGGGGGCTACTTGGCTCATCTTGGATCGCAGGTAAGTGTGCAGGCTCTGGCGGTACTCTGACAAAGACACCACACGACTGGAAAAGCTCTCGATGTTTATCAAGTCGATAGCTGATATGTCCATGCCTGAAGGACACAAAGTATGAATGTGGGAGCCAGACATTCAGAGCCCTGTACCTTATTTTGGCTGCCAGGCTCTGTACTGACCCATGGAGGACCGCGAGGCATCCAGAATAGCCTTAGCCTTGGCCCCATCCATTGTCAGCTCCTCCAACTTCTCTAACTTTTCTTCATTCAGTTCTCTTCGGTTCCCAATGAACTGAGCAACGCGGCAGTATGTGGCATTGTCATTGATGATCTTCACCAGCTCAGGAAAGTGATACCCATACCACTCCCTAAAAAGAACCACAATCACTCCCTGGCCCAGCTGCCATGTTTCAAATAAAGCTACAGCCTCAGCCCTGTCTACACCTACCATTTGCCTGGTGGAAGTGAGAACAAGCCAGATCCCAAACCTCCTTGATCCCATGTCCCCCCATTCACAATACAAACCAGGCAAAGGGGGCCTGGGTTGAGGTGTATATGGGGTGGGTTTACTCTGCCTCCTCTTTCTATACAGTCAGTGTAAGAACACAGCCTGTGGTAAGCACCAGGAGGCCCAGCCCCCGCCCTGTGAGTCCTCTTATCAGGATTCAAAATAAGCTAAATCATAGACCACAATCTGTTTGCAAGGGTCGCCCCTACACTTTACCTGACACGCATGGAGAAGGTATTGATGTCCTTATCCAGCTGGTCCAGGAGGCTAATGGACTGTATAATCATATTGTCCACCCGGTTCACATTAAACTTAACTTTGGCACGAGAATAGCTGTGTCCCAGCCCCAGCTGGGCCTTACAAGCAGATATGTCAGTCAGGCCCTTCACCAGGTTGTGGAAGTGGAGGCGAACTCCTGGAGAAGGATGTAAGACTATGAGCAAGGAGGGCTCTGAGCTAGCTTCTGCACCCATGCGCAACAGCCAAGCAGGACAACTACCCAGAAGCAACCTTCAGTATCCTAATATTTCCAGAACCCTCCTTAAAGATGTCAAGAATGGCAATGCATGGTAACAGAGGATGGTCTCACCTCGAAGAACCTCAGCTATCACACCTCCAGTCTGGCAGTTGTACCCTAACTCCTCTTGTATAGCAGCACCAATCTTGGGGTCACCAACCCCCAAGAGCACTTTCTTCTTTTTGGATGGCAGATGAGTCTCCAAAAACAGACGGAGGTCCTCATGAACAACACCTCAGGGCAAAAAACAGAACTTTCACTAACAGACCGAAGAATGTTTAAATCACAAAAGAGACCCTTGTCCCTTAACTGCTGACTGCCACACCTCTGGTCTAGAAGAGCATGCTGGGATGGCTTTCCTAGACCCCTCCCCTTCCGGCTTTGCTCAGAGACATGGAGACATCAGTGATTGCATCAGGGGATTGACAGACTCAAGTCATCACTGCAAAGCCTGCACTAACCACAGGAGGAACAGCACTCAAGTTGAATAATACAAATGTGAAATGCATAATTGAAAGCTTAAAACACACCCTGGAGTACTATGAAAATATTTAGCGCCCGATTTGCCTTCTGGGACCAAACACTTTTTTTTTTTGGTTTTTATGTATCAAGATTGCTCTTTCCAATCAATTAAACAAAGTAGCTGAGAACCACATGTCATATGTCATTGGGTTTAGCACTAAACTAGTCCTGTCAGATTTCGTTCACCAACCATTTATCACTAGTACCCACAAGTTAGGACTGCATGCTGAACTGTGCGCTTTAAATATAACATTTAATCAACCATATCCCCCAGAGCCTGAGTTCGGTGAAGACTATCCTAAATTACATCCTGTACACATCAAATACCACCCAGAATATATTAGATTTAGAACAAATTAGCCCAGGAAAGGCAGAAATACTATCACAAGCTCCGTAGTAAAAAGAACCAGACAGTAGCAGGAACTACATCTCAGCTTATCTTCCTAAAATACCTGGAGGTGGCTTATTCACTCACCTTCAGACACAGCGTTAGCATTTTCCAAGGCAACCTGGGATGAGGCAAAGGGACAAAAGGCCACGAGACGAACAATGTTGTGGAACTTGCCCAGATTGAGCACGGACTCCTCCACCTGGGGGTGGGGGAAAAAAGGATGAGTATCTTCCTTAGCTCCTGCCTCTAGGGTGCCGTGAAGCAGCGTACAGAAGAACCAATAACCCTTAAGAATGAACTTGTCATGGGCCCTAAATACCGGTTCTGCTTCCTCGGTAGCGGAAGGAGTGCGGAAGGCTTCTAAATGATCCTAACGCAATTCTACTCGCTAGTGCTGGTAGGACCCTCTGCTCTGGAGTTTTCGGGCTCAGCGTACACCCCAGTGCGCGTGGCCGCCCACGTGGGAGCGCGCGGTGGATGCTGGGGCTCTCGCAGCCCCCAAGCCCACTGCTCGCACCCACCTGCGGCTGCAGCAGGCTGATCTCCTCCACTTCCTTCAGCGCCAGCAGCGCGTAGCCGACCGCGTGCTCGAACAGCACGTGCAGCAGCACCTGGAAAGAAAGCCGGGGCGCCCGCGTCAGCGCGGTCCCCACGTCCGCCCGGCCCCACTCCCACGGCAGCCCCGCGCTCCAGCCAGGGCTCCGGCCCGAGCCCAGGCCCAAATCGCGGCCTTCGCTTCTCCAGCACACTACCACCACTCCTCACCATGGCGCCCGCTCCTGGCCCGGCTCGCAATGCGGCGAGCGGGGTCTGGCGCGCGGAACCAGGTTCCGGAAGCCACGCCCCCGCGCCGCCGGCCAATCGGAGGCCTGGGACGATACCTTTCCGGGTCCTCGGAGGGGTCCGCTTGTGGTATCGCCCGGCGGGCTGTGGGGGTGGTGCGAGCGCCGGCGGGCCGGCATTTTCCGGCCTCAGCTGTGGCGCGGGCTGGCGAGGTGGCAGGGGAAGCGTGGGTCTGGGCCAGGCTCTGCAGTCTGCAAAACGGTTTGGAAAAACGCTTTGATGTTCTCATCATATAAATTACGGGCCGCCTCTTCTCCTCATATAAATTACGGCCCTTACGTTCTCATCATGTAAATTACGGGCCGCAGAGATAGGTGAAGTCCGGACCGGAGGCCCCGCATCGGCTGCGGTGACCGTTCCCAGGCAGGAAACGGACACCGAGCTCACTTTCCCCAACGCCGGCCCCGGGCCCCAGAAACCTCCCCGCGCCCCATGCCCCCAGGACCCTTTCGCCCCCGCGTCCCACTAGAGGCCGCCCCGCCCGGGAGCCCGGGAGCCGCGCGCCCCGCCTCCTCACCCGCACGGAAGCGGGGCTGGGCGTGCTGGCTCAGACCTGAGGAAACGTCACTCCTGGGGCCCGGTGTTGTGCTTTTACATGGTGTTTCGTGTATTTCCTTCTTAAAAACGAGGGTGGCAGGCGAGAAGGTAGAAGAGAAAGACGATTCCACCTTTTCCTAGGCCGGGTTGTCGTTCCCCTCGAGCAGAACCGGCGCCTTTTGGGGGAACACGTGCTGCTTGCCCTGTCGAAGGCCCTTAAATCTCAACACCCGCTTAGCTCCAAGTGAATCGGAGCTGCTGCTGGCGCAGAGGGTGGCTTTTGGACACTAAGCAACTTTTGAAATTACCTTTGCTTTAATAAATATTAAAACTTGGCTATCTTAAAGTAGTATATGTGCTGATAAAATTTTAAAACATCATTTTAAGGGTTTTTTAAATAAATTTCTATAACTAAAGTACATTCGTAAATTTAATATATTTTATTTTCTTCTTAAGCAATTCAGTTACTTGACAAAATTCAAGTACTGAGCACCCTCTTAAAGCCGAATATATTAAACTTAAAAATATGGATGGGCCGTGGCTAGTGTTGTTCAGTGGTTAGAGAGTCACCTGAGCACGGAAGGGTCTCAGGTTCTAGTCACCATCAAGGGCTTGCACCTGGGTTGCAGGTTTGATCCCCAGCCCCATAGGGGCATGTGTGGGAGGCAGCCAATCGATGTGACTCTCTTACATGGATGTTTTTCTTTTCCCCACCCTCCATCCCTCCCACTCTCTCAAAAAAAAAAAATCAATGGAAAACATATTCTTGGGTGAGGATTAACAAATATATATATATATATACACACACACATGCACACACACACATATACATATACACATATATATGCATATATGTATGATTGTAAATATTAAAATCTCATAATCTCAATATTGCTTGCAAATACTAATCCACTTAAAATTATGAGTCTAAACCAGTTATTCCATTCCACATTAAAATTTTTTGTCTTTATTGATTTTAGAGAGAGAGGAAGAGAGAGGGAGAGAGAGATAGAAACATCAATGAGAGAGAACATTGGCCGCCTCCTGTATGCCCCCCGCACTGGGGATTTGGCCCACAAACTGGACATGTGCCCTGACTGGGAAACAAACTGGTGACCTCTTGGTGCATGGGTCGAAGCTCAACCAGCCAGGCCCATTCCACATTTTAAAATGGAATTGCAAAATTAATTTATAATGTTAAATTCTCTTGAATGTAATAAATACCAAATTAAATAGATGATTTTAAAATGTAATGGAGAATATTAATGCTATGACTTTGTTTTACTTCATTATTTCTATACTTAATCCTAAATATTCCTGGGGTTATAGGTGTTTATCTGCTAAGGTAGGGATTTTCAAAGAAGTCAGAATCTATTAATGGGTTGAGGATTAAATTAGACAGTCTTGGCCAGCATTAAAAAGAAGTAGGATGAGCCCTGGCCAGTTTGGCTCAGCGGTTAGAGTGTCGGCCTGCGGTCCGGAGAGACCCGGGTTCGGTTCCCGCTAAGGGCACGTACTTCGGTTGCAGTTTGTCCCCGGCCCTGGTTGGTTGTGCGGGTGGCAGCCACTCGATGTGTCCCTTCACGTCGATGTTTCTCACTCTCCCTCTCTCTCCCTCCCACTCTATCTGTACAAAAAATGGAAAAATATCCTCGGGTGAGGATAAAAAAAAAAAAAAAGAAGTAGGATGAAAGAGAGTAGGAAATAATAGTATGTCACATAGAGTAAGGGGTATTGATTTGTAAAACTGGTCTCAGCTAAACATGTATATGTATACATATATGTATAAATATATATGTATATATATATATGTAAATAGTATATGTACACATGTAGGAATACATATTGTACACACACAAATATATATATAATTTCTGTGGATTAAATACAAAAAGCCTGAGAGTTATAAGCTGCACGTTAACCACATTCATATTTTGGATAGATAAATTTGCATCTGAGTCTGAAAGCATGAGGACCAGAAGCACCGATGTCCAAAGGGAGAAGATAGATGTCTCAGCTTAAGCAGAGATAGAATTAATTTGTTTTTCTTTCACCTTTTGTTCTGTTCTGGCATTCAAAAGGTTTGGGTGATGCCCATCCACATTTGGGAGAGGCAGTTCACCAGTTCAAATGCCTATTGCATTTTTAGGTGAAGGGATACAGTAGTAAGCAAACCAAGTCAGTGCCATCATGGAGTTAACATTCTCTGGGGAGATAAAAAATCAAGTAAGTATGTTGATAAATGTTAAGGGATGTTGCATTGTTATAGAGGCCCTTAGTGAAGAGGTGACATTTGGGCAGAGATTTTAAGCAAGGGAATAAGCGATGCAGAGACCTTGGAGGAAAATAAAAACATAACCCTTGACCTCTGTTTTCAAAGACTATAATGCGAGAGGAATGAACATAACTGACCAAGAGCTGAAATGCAGAAGTATGAGAGGCTGACCAGGAGACAGTTTGGGGGGTGCGGGGCAGTGCTCCTGAGGAAGACTTCATGGCCAGAAGGGGTTTTAGACATTTATAGAAGAATGTGTAGGTTGTTAAGAGATGAAGGAAAGAGAGTGGGAGCAAAAGCCAGAAACAAGAGAAGAACCTGCTAGAGGTAAGATTTATCCTGGTCAGTAGTTGGTGAAAGACGGAAGGATCTAGCATGTAAGATTTAAAACATAAGCCTTGAATGAAGGCCAGGATGAATGGCTTGGTCTGATGAGAAATCTTATTCTCCACTAAACAGTGTTTGATTGGAGATTAATTTGGAGGTGATTGAAAGACAGATTTTCCAAAAAATTCCAGCTGAGAAAATGTCCTTTAATGGCAGCAGGTCCTAGGGAGAGCTGTGGGTTTCCCAGGCATGTTCCAGACTCAAGCTTTAAAGCCATGTGGCATCTGGGGCCTTTTCTTTCTCTTTGTAGATAGGACTGTTTACCCATGGGGAAGGACCATACACTGTAGCATCTATTACTCCAATATTTAGCCTAGTCTATTGTTCATTGTGTCATTTTGGTGTAAATTAACCCAATTTTTACTTTGAGCATTGGGCAATGCTAATGGAGACCTACGGAAATGGAATGAATTATAGTCATGTGCCACGTAAGGACTGGCCTGAATGTGACAGTGGTATACCGTATAGCATAGGTGTATAGTAGGCTATACCA